GATTGTCATTCATTTCCAAATATAAAATATTTAAAATATTTAGTAAACAAAACTTATAGATAGAGCAAGACATTGTTTAGATAAACACAATACAAAACTTTGTTTACAGAGATACCCCTATCAAGTTCATTTTTAGCTGGCTGTAGTGGCTCACACCTGTAATTCCAGCACTTTGTGAAGCCAAGGTGGGCAGATTGCTTGACACCAGAAGTTCAAGACCAGCCTAAACCTCATCTCTACAAAAAGATTAGTTAACTAATTAATTAAATTCGCCGGGCACAGTGGTGCATGCCTGTAGACCCAGCAACTCAGGAGGTAGAAGCAGGATTGCCTGAGCCCAGGAGACTGTGGTGAGCAATAATTGTGCAACTGTACTCCAGCCTGGGTGACAAAGACCCTCAATTAAAAAAAATACATTTTTAAAAGATATAAATATAGATAAAAGTTAAAATTAGAAGTAAAGATGAAAAGATGAAGTGACTTTGAGTTTTAAATTTTGTTTCCATGTAGATTTGACAATTTATATTTCAATACAATATTAAAATTTAGGGATGTACTTTTTCATTTGTACCCGTGCATTTATTTTTCTTTAATAAATTTATAATCTTACTCATTTGCAGAAGCATTTACCCAAACATAACTAGATGGTTTCATGTATTCTTTTACTATCTTTGACACAAAGATTAACATAGAACTATTTTTCTCTCATTTGAAAACCCACAAGTATGAATAAATTTGCTTTCTGTTAGAAAACTGTACTACTACAGTCTGGTAGCCATGAAATTAACAAAGGCAGTAACTTTACTGGTTAAATATAGGCTAGTGGGCAGCAGTCTTTCATGACTTGGTATCCTCAGATCTTCTAATGAAATTTTTATTGTTCATGGGATTCTGAAACATGCATCTGCGAACCACAATTAGCTATAAAGTTAATAGGTGAATAATTACTTTTCAGCTAGTATGAAAAACCCCTCATTTGTTTATGAGTTAGCATATTTTTTATAATTGTAAATATGAAACATAAATCTGTACCAATTGATGGAGTAGCTGAAATGTGACCCTTGAGCTTGCTTTTCTCCTGTGTCAGCCTTGATGGAAGGGTGTTTTGTGGAACACGATTATTCCTCCAGATGCTTCTTGGAAAGTAAGATCCTATGAATGCATTTCTGGGAAACACTGGATTCAATAAAGTGAAGCAAATAGTGTTACTTTTGTTTCAGCATCAAGTCTGCCAGAAGAGTCTCATCTGAATATTGAACTGATTTTTGTGCAACATCACGTGAAACTAGAGATATTCCATAGAACATATTTTGAGAAACGCAGTTGTGTTTAAAAACAATTTACATTAAAAAAACACTTAAAATGAAATAAAAACAAAACAAAAATCATCACACACCTGGCCTCTTCTATTCTGTGAGGAAAATGGGGGCCTGCAATACCAGATGCTTTACTGGGAAGGGAAGAGACACCATTGCCATAATCTCACAAGTGTTACTGGTAGAACACTATTCCTTTATTCTTTGTAGCATAGAAATCAAAATTGAAGCTCTAAGGAAGTGTTTTCTAGTAGAAAATAAAATTGTGAAAAAAGAAACTGATAGAAATAAAAATTGTAGTTTTTATGTAAGGTTTATTATACGATGAGCTTGAAAAATGGCTAGTTGCAAATCAGAATAATTGCCCTTTGCTTATAAAGTCAATCTGGAGGGTAAGGGGAGGAGATTGATTTTCTTCTGTGTGAATTGTTTCCTATACAGACAAAAAAAATCAACTTAAGGAAATCCCTGAGCGTTTTCAATACAGATGTCTCCAAAAGTGTTATTGCTGCCAAGTTATTTTTTCAATGTGTCACATAATCTTTGTATAGTTTATAAATGATAACAAAGCAATCAGGCCACATTCATAAAAGCCCAGTGACACATAATTTAGTTGAATCTGAGGATTAGAATTAATTGTCTCTCTTTGTTCCAAGTTCTAAATCTTAGTAAATGATTCACTGCATGTCATTACAGCTTAATATTTGCATGAAATCACAGTTTAGCTGGCATAATTTAACAGCAATTAAAAAGCTATTTAATCGTCATGGTAATTGGTATGAGGACCCTTGAGTGAGAAGGGTGTCGGCCTTTTTTTTTTTTTAAGTATCTCCAGGCGGACAGTTATATACTTGTAGACACCCATAACATAATTGACAGCATCCTCTAGCATAGAAATATATGTGAATAATAATTCATATTTTCCATTATAAATAAGAGAAAAGACCAGCAATATGAATATGTCATTCTGTAGGAAGACATTATTATGACAATCATAATGAATCTTTATTTTCCAGGCATAAGTCTAGGTTGGAGGTACATTTGTTCCGGTGCTCTCGTTTATAATCTCTTCCATACTTTCCTTTCTGAAGGCAGACACTTCTGTAAACCCTATGGGACGTGAAATGGCATAAAGCAAGACACCTAGAAACCTTTTCGAAAAACTACCCATCACATTTCTAGGTCTAGCTTTAGGCAATATACATACAGGTGGCTGAGATGTCCTGCCCTGCAGGTTGCTGACATCAGGATCTGGCCAAAAGAAAAAGGAAAATATATACTAATACTTCTATATTAAACCCAACACACAGTCACAGTCACATGGATTTGTGACTAATATCATGCTACTCTAACACTGTGTAATAGATCTCACTCCTGTATTCCCTGTGCTCATTCAGACCATTTACCCCAGTGATCCAGAATGCTATTTTTAAAACATATCGCATCCATATGTAAAAATCTGTCAGTGTCTTCCTGTTGTACATAGAAAAATATCCAGACTCATTCCAGTGAGCCTAGCAGTGCTGCGTGATACAGCCTCTTCCTGTTCTTTAATATTCACTTCATGTATTCTCCCACTACACACTAGCTACAGTGATCTCCTGCCAATTCCATGACTATTTCAAGGTTTTTCATTTTATTTTATTTTATTTTTAATTTTAGAGTTGTAGAGTACAGTGGGGATTTACCCCGTAGATGGTTGCATGCAGGTGAAATTTGGACTTCTAGCTGGCCCTCTCTCCCAGAGATAGTGCGCCAGGTACCCAGTGTGTTTCCACGTGCTCCCCACCCTCCTTCTTCCCTCCCTCCCCCAGCAGTGTCCAGTGTCTGTTGCTCTCACAGAAAGGAGAAAACAAAACAAAACAGACAACCTTATTAAAACGGGGGCAAAGGAAATGAACAGACACTTCTCAAAGGACGACATACAAGCAGTCAACAAACACATGAAAAAATGCTCAGCCTTGCTAATCATCAGAGGTATGGAAATCAAAACTACAAGGAGAAAACACCTAACATCGGTAAGGATGGCTGTCATTAATAAGTCAAGATCTTTCTTGACTGAAGAACAATGTTCCGTCTACCCCGAATAATCTTTCCATGCATCTGCACATTCCCACCACCTCTACGAGACTTTCTCGGAATGTTGCCTCAAGCAGGGATTCGCCTAACTTTTTAGTTTCTGTATTTGCATTTATTATCATTTGAATTTTATTCATCTGTTTACGTGTGTTTGTTTATCTGCCCTTTCCACTAAAATGTAAATAACAAGAAAGCAGGAATAATGTCTACTATTTTTACCAATGTAAGCCCAATATCTAGCAGAATATCTGCCACATAGTAGGCACTAAATAAAACATTTAATGAGTGGATGACTATAATTTGAAATCCAAAAGGAGCCTATAGCAAAGCTGGAATTTCCTTCTAGGAGAGAATGTTACAGAGAACTTCCTTTCTATTCTCTAAGCAGATTTTCTTGGCAACAGGAATGTAGAGAATGGGTTTAGATGTCTTAAAATGAAGCCATCTAAAATATGGTAGGGATGTTGTTTCATTAGTCGTTTATACCGCAGGAATATGACAGAAATGTTTTTTCATCATTCATTTACACAGTGGATTATTTTTCAAAGTATCTGTTATAAGCGTAGTCTCACACAGTATATGGACTCTGCGGTATTTCACATAATATTTAGCACAATGCCTGACACTTAGAAGACCTTAAGATAATATTTGTTCCATGGAACTGAGGTTTGAAAGACTCAGATAAATATAAAGTCATATTAGCATAATTTTAGGGGGAAAGGCTAGAATAATTAAAGACTATTAAGTACTCCCTGCTGTGTTATCTGTGTGGAGAAAAATAGGAAGATAATATACTCACCCACTCTTTGGGACTGACTTGGTTTTTGCAATCTTTATGATAAGCAAGAGGATACTGTGGGTCTCTGAGGATGTACTTGCTTTTAAGGACACACTTGTGTTTGGTAAAATAAATCTAAATATAACTCTAGTTACCATATCTTATGCATGACACCTTTTTATCTCTTGTGTATAATACTTTTATCCCATCAACTCGGCAAGGCCCTAGTAGAAGAATTTTTGCTGCCTCCAATTTTAATTTTTCCTTTTCCAAATTTTTGGTGTACCCTAAATTTGTGTTCATTTATTCTGAACCTTTGAAAAATGGATTCTTAGTGATTTCCAAAGGTAGTAAATGGGGAGTTTTACCTACACACCAATCATAGTATGAAAACTGAAAAACTTACTGCAATGTGTTTGGTATAAGTTTGTTACTATTTTTTTCCCCAAAATTTGGACATGGTGATATAATTAATAAGATGTAATTAAAGCCATCACATAGCTTAAGATAATTTTTGTTATAATCATTCAGTCATACTTAAAAGATATAATTACCATATCTTTTGGAAATCTGCTGATTTTCTGACATTAAGTATTGGAATTTATACACTAAACAGTTAGGATATAGATCGTCTTCACCTCTAAAGACTCTTTTCTTACTAGACATAATCAAATGTTTGAATCATAAGTTCTTGATAGTTTCTACTAGAAAAAGAGCTCAAACTAATATAAAATATTAACAACTATTTATTAATGACGTTTTCTATTTAGCACCATAATTCATTGTCCTATACACGTACATTTGTTTTTTTCATTGCTTTTCTCTAGGGCCACCTTCAGCGCCTAGGAATGTGGTTTTTAACATCAATGAAACAGCCCTTATTTTGGAATGGAGTCCACCAAGTGATACAGGAGGGAGAAAAGACCTCACATACAGTGTAATCTGTAAGAAATGTGGCTTAGACACCAGCCAGTGTGAGGACTGTGGTGGAGGACTTCGCTTCATACCAAGACATACTGGCCTGATCAACAATTCTGTGATAGTGCTTGACTTTGTATCACATGTGAATTATACCTTTGAAATAGAAGCCATGAATGGAGTTTCTGAGATGAGTTTTTCTCCCAAGCCATTCACCGCTATTACAGTAACCACAGATCAAGACGGTAAGTTCCACTACTAGTCTCTCAAAACAGACCTATGATTTGTTTTGATGTATAGTATCCCTGATGGTCCTATATTCCCTGGAGGTGCAATGCCGTCATATACATCATACACTCCACAGGTAACTCTCTCGTGGTGAGTCTTGTTCTTTGACAAGAAGCAGAAAGATATTTTTGATGTTACTTCTCAGAAGTATGATTACTAAGATGAAATGCTTCTCTCTGATGTGTGCGTATTTATGTTTTTGATATCAACATATGCCAATATATCTTAATGAATAAGTCCATATTACTTATCAATGGAAGTCAGAAATAAATTGAATTTTAGTTACTTCACTTATGCGGCCATCCCTTTTCCTTGTCAAAAAAAGCAAATAGCAAGAATTTACTTGAATTATAATTCATGTCTGTATTGTAAGGGCATTCCAGCCAACATGTGATCCACTCTAAATAGCAATAAAGTATTTAAATGCTATTGTCTGTGTGCAGCTGTGAAAAGTACTTAAACTGTCCTTTTAAAAAAATCTTATGAATTCGGTTAAATCATCTTTTCATAACCCTATAGATTTGTACTACACTGTAGTCAGGCACAAGCACTTCTACGGTTTTTACAAGTGTATACTCTCTTTAATCCCCTCATAACATAATTATATTGCAGAGGATGGAACAGCAAAAGCTTCAGAGATCTAAAAATCACCTTTTGAGAAATGTTTATAAATTACATGGGTGCACAAGTTATTGTGTTGCTGCAGAAAGGATTGTGAATGAACACTTATATCTGAGACAGATTTATAAAGATAAAACTATTCTTATAGACTGCATTCATTTGCTAGGGCAACCATAACAAATACCACAGACTGTGTGGGTTCAACAACAGACAATTTATTTTTTCAGGCTAGAAGAATCAAGTTGTCGGCAACGTTGATTTCATTCTGAGTCCTGTCTCCTTGGCTTGTAGGTGACCATTTTCTCCGTTTTTTTGTGTGTCTAACCTCCTTTGCTTCTTATGAGGACACTAATCATATTGGATTGGGACCTGCTCATGTGACCAAATTTTACCTTAAGTACTCTTTAAATATATTATCTTCAAATACAGTCACATTCTGAGGTACTGGGGCTACAACTTGAACCTATGAATTTGAGGGGACACGATTAAGCTCATGATATGCACTAAGGCAGCATATGGTCATATTTAATATAATATGGAGAATATATTAGTGTTTGGCAGGGGGTAGGGATTTGAGGGAGGACATTGTGGCCATGAGGTGATAGAAGGAATAACAATATTGTGTCCTGGTTGTTGTGATAGTTACAGAAAATTATGTTTGTGATAAATTGCAGAGAACAGCATACACACATTCACACACATACACACAAGCCCTGCACATTGGACCGATGTCAGTTTCCTGGTTTTCTCGCAAACTGCAGTTATACAAATAGTTAATATTGGAGGAGGCTGGGTAAAGGATATATGGAACCTCCCTATACTTTTTTTTTTTTTTTTGCATATTTCTGTAAACCTATATACATACAAAGGCAGAAAACATTATTAAACCAATGAAATGTACAGGGAGAAAGCTTTCAGATTCTACTAAAAACATAGATGAAGTGGATGTGAATATTGTATTCAAATATTATACATAAATTCACTTTGCTGATAATCTTCAGAAATGCCTCTAATAACTAAAGCAAAGCCAAATAGTATTGTACAATCACAGCCTTTGTGTTTACTATGTACTTTTCCCCTTCATTTAGCAAATAACTCTACATCATTAAATTTGCTTTATGGTTATTCAAAAGGAATTCTTATTTCCACTTTTTTATTTCTATCATTTCTTTAGCTTCAACAAACTCTGGTCCAATGTGTTTTCAAGACAAAGCAGACAAGAGTCTTCCATTCCTTTTGCTGTAGCAGATCATTTGTAATGTTTTTATTGCTGCCACCTGATATAAAAAATACAGTCCAGTACAACAATCTTTAACTACAGGACAAAATAATTTTATTTGGAGACAAAACAGTATATCATCTTTAAAATATATAATATATTTGCATAAATTTCATGCATACATGTAGCAGCTTTTGATTCTAGAATTGCAAGGGAGTACATTTAATTTACTTCTTTACTTATCAGGACAGAATATAAATTCTTTCTCACTTTTAAAATGAGGTAATTCATTAGATGTATAATGCTAGATGGAAAAAAGTTATATCAAACATGAACTAAGGTTCAGAGTCCATATGTTGAGGCTATACATTCTGGAAAGATAATATTATTAAACCATCCTTTCCAATAAATGCATCTTTGCTGAATATTAAGAAATGAGTATTGTTAATTTTATTTGACCTGGTTTTAGATATGAATAGTAACAAAGAGTAAAAGTATATTCATATTTTATTAGAAAGTTCATAAGGTCCTAAACTAAAATATTGTCACATACATATTTAATAAAATATGATCAAGACTAGAATCACGCTTGGGTATTGGCTATTGCCTTAGTGTGCTAGAGTTTTCAAAGAGCAGCCACTGACCTTATTCACTGGTGGTGGGCTTTATGGCACAGAAGTCACCAGGTTAGTGATATGCTTCAGAGAAAAAAAAATGATCAGCTGTACATATTAGCACTACCTCTATGTCATAATTTCGAAAGATATTAAGAAGGCCCTCTCTCCTTATGCCTAAAATTCTGAATTAAGAGAATTACATCTGCAGACAAGGATATCATTATAACATAGTTAAATCTGTGGATCTATCATTTATTATTTCCAAACACAAAAGAGTCAAGAGTCTAGTGTTGAATTTAAAAAGAGTTTATAGAACCTAAATGTCCCTGAACTAAGTTTCAACAGGTACCATTTTATGCCAGCCTTAAATAAGATAATTTTATTGCTGCAAATAGAGGAAGGGATTTCTCATCACGCCCCATGGAGTGTCTGGGAGTTCTCTTTCAAGGGATTTAAGACTTGGCACTTTCCAACGTCACCTGATAGCACATTACAGTTTCATTGGACTGCAAGGGTGACAGTAAAATGGTTTGCCTTCTTATCCGTAGGTTACATATCATTGTTTTTATACTAAAATGGCAAAGGGATCAGTGTTATTTATAAACTTTCCATTTATTCAACACTTCTAGCAGATTCCTTGTGTGCAACAGTGGGTGAACACATATGAACTTTAAAGTTTGGTGGGGAAGCAAATAATAAACAAATAATTTCACAAAATGTGGCTAGTCATGTTGTGACCACTGACGAAGGTTCTCTGGGTGATCTTGGGTGCTCTGAGAGACTATATATTCTCCAGATGTGGAGGATAGAAAGGCTCTTCCCAAGGAAGCAGCATTTAAGTTCTATTCTGCAGAATGAGTAGAATGTGATGAGGCAACATGACGCTGGAGGAAGGGAAATAATTCCAGTTAGAAGGAATCAAGCAAAGGTTGAGCAATCGAAGGGTAAGGGGCTGACAGCATAGCCGAGAAGTACAGCAGGATTTGGGGGCGGAACTGCAGACTTCATCTAAAATTAGGAATAATGAATGTCTGTCTGCAAATAGCTGAAAGAAGTTAGGGAATCAGCCACTTGTCAGAAGATGCTGGTATTTTACTAGGGCCACAAGTAGGGAAAAGAAAGTCAGCACAATAATAACAACACTCAGGAGGTTATACATACCTGGGTATGGAAAAAATATTAGAGACCAAAAAAATAGACAATTGCATTATGCTTTTACTACTCTGTGTATACACAATGTGTGACATGTAGATAGAGAGGAAGTTTGTATTGGTTTGCCCTTTCTTTCATATAGTTGACTATATATACATGTTTTCTCATATTTAAGAAATACTAAGAAAACCACATTAAATCACACCAACTTAATTGTTTGCTCCCTGTTTACAATCATACAAATGTAAAAAAAGAAATTCCAAAGCGCTTAGAACAATTTAGAGTTTGCCGAAACGTTTCATAATCATTCTGATTCCAGTTGGATAAATAAAGTTTTAGAGTTAAGACTGTGACTCTCATAATTAGGAATCTTTTCAGTAAATCTTAATTAACTGACTTCTGCAATTCCTAAGAGCTGTATTTATAACCTTCTATTTTCATAGTTTATTTAAACGGTCTTGAAAGGTGTTTCATTTAGAGAGCAAAATAAGAAAGCAACACCTAAAAGAAGCTTGATTTTAATCTTCAATGCATGATAGGAAAACTAAGGTGTGCAGTTTAGTAAAAAGTAATTATTCAGGTCTTAGACAGTAAAGGAAAATGTTAATCATGGATCGTCAACCAGAAACAAATTGTGTTTGTAGATATCCTGACATGTGCAAAAACCTTTAGGGACCATGTTCAAAGTGAAAGACATGGTAAATTACAAACCAATTCTGCTGATATTTGCTAAAGGGTCTTTAAAGCAATTATTGTCAGAAGCAAGTTGTCCAATTCACTGACTTCTTAAAATATACATGCAACACCCCTGTCTCTACCCTTGAGTGAATATTCTGTACAGGTCTGCACTAGGCTCACATTTTGATTACAGATTTCATAGCTTTGCTGTGGCAGCAATGATTAATTAAACTGACATTGGAAATGTGTGTAAATCAACAAAAGCTTCTATCTATTTAAAAACTTGAGATGTCTGTTTTATATATAGTTCACTGCCTTTTGGAAAAACAGTTTACTTCAAATGCCAACCTTTTGCATGTTGCTAGAGTAGGTAATTAGGGACAGTGGAAACATTCATTCATCTTTATATCTGCATTTTATTGTATTTTATCTTTGACTGTCTCTCACATTTTTCGCTATGTTTTCAAAAATGTTGACAGCGAATATTCTTTTTTTCTAAAGCTTTTATAACCCTATTCAGAGTGAAAAAAAAATCAGTATTAAAGTTTTAAATACTTCCTGAAAGTATACCAAATATAAGCCAGGGGCATGACAAGTTTGGTTTTTGTTTGTTAAAACATGCAACAACTATGATTTTAGCTGAATGATGCTGTGCTATGTGTATTTATTTATTTCTCATATATAAGCAAATTGCATACTCAAAACCAA